CAAAGTATTTTTGCCACATTTCATGGCTTTAAACAGTTATCACGGCCAGAAAGAGTTCCACAAATGAACATCACTTTATACCCTGTACTCAAACCCAACGAGACTGGTTTGAAAATGCTAACTACATGTATTTTCTAAACAAAAACTTCAGTATTTTTTCTGGTAAACCGTTTTAGTATCAGCTGGCTGATTTACCACTGCAGGGAAACATTTGTGATATCAATTTATGGACATGACGGATCTCTTAGTCTTACCTTATGGCCTTCATTGCTGTTAAATTATAAAAGTCTGACCATGGTTATAGGCCTATGCTCACCATGCTCACATTACATGTACATAGGCTAGGTGATATGGCCTACTTAAGCCATGTAAAAAAAAAGTAGTTGGTTAGAATAAAAAAACACCTGCACGGTTTTTTTTTAGACACACCGGTTAAACTGCTGTAAAAAAGGGCATGACAACATGTCAGAGTAGCCATCACACACAAACGATCTTTTGGACAAGGACGTGCAGTTAGTTCATTGTAGCTGGCTATCGAGAAACCACACCAATTATTTCACGTAGGACTAACGTTCGTTGTACACGTACAGTGCATGTACATGTATTTGCCTTCATGTTGACCGTTCCTTTGGATACAACCTTGTCACCTCGATTCCTTCTGTCAATACTATATCATACAGTTCTCAGGATCAACCCCAGGGATGTAGCAGGTCAGAGCATGGCTGTGTCCGATGCAAGGGCTATGTGCTAAAGCTAGGACTACTTTCCACAGCACATCATTTGGAAGCAGCCACAGCTCCAGCACGCAGCCTTTCTTTCTACTCGGCCAAGTGCACAATGCATAGCGCATGTGCTTTGTCAAGGTACGCTTGGACATGGCGGACGATAGCGATCATTAAATTTTTCCAGCATTTTTCATGTCTTGATGTGGGCCTATGAATTAAACAAAATCAATTTGAAAAGGGCACGTGATTCACTTTATTGTATTATTATTTTCATCAATAAACTGCATCATTTGGAACTGAATCTCTTAAATGAGAAAGCAAGAGAAAAAAAAAGAACAACCTCCTGCCCGCCCCTGAAAAATGAAAGGCCACGGATGCTAACCAACTGCATGTAATTTTTTTTACATGGCCTTAGCTTAAGGTAGGCATAGTTAGTGATTGACCATATTGTGTTATATAGGCCTACTTAGTACTTCACCAATGTTCACAACGTTTAGGCCACATTTGTTCTTCTTTTGGTTTTCACAAATTTCATGTTTTATATGTGGCTAAATGATAGGCCTAAGGCCTATCTATTTTATTTAATGGCCAACAAGGTGTCTAAAATCTGCAGTGCATTGCAGACATTTTTTCAGTGCGCTAGTAGTCTTATTCCTCCATTGGTATTGCAACACGTATTGCAACACTTAGTCAACAACCCAAGCAGTTCCGCATTGCCACATGGCCCGTTTTAACACGCGTTTCAATGCAGGCTATTGTTCGGGAACTGCGAACAGCTTACGAACTCGTCCAGCTGTCATGAATTTCATGTCTTATTCTCATCAAATACCCTCCACACTAATCACACAGACCAACCAGAAAGTCGTCCCAATATTTTCTGAGCTGATTTCTACTCACTATTTACAATGTCGCCGATGGTTTTGTACTTGGTGACTACGATATCGTAAGCTGGAGTAAGCTCTTCTTCGGCCCCGCTGTCCGCCATGATTGAAAAATAAGTGTGTGATTTCATTACACACGTGTTTCCCAGAATGCAGCGGGGCTGAGGCAATGCGCGCGCGAAACTTGCACGGAGGGACGACCTGGAATCTCAGGTCTTATGCACGGGGCAAGCTGGGGACTCAACACGACGGCTTGTGGGGGGGGGGTCGATCACTAAGAAAAGGTTTCCAGGAGGGGGCTGATTCATATTGGACAGGTCTTCAGTTCTGTTTAATATTTTTGTATAATTACAATACAATAAATTCAAAGGAAAAGTAAGATTTTTATGAAGGCTAAGTAATATCATAGAGCTCTAAGGTAATAGTAAGTTAATTAATATATTTGATTTGATTTGATTTGATTTGATTTGATTTGATTTGATTTGATTTGATTTGATTTGATTTGATTTGATTTGATTTGATTTGATTTGATTTGATTTGATTTGATTTGATTTGATTTGATTTGATTTGATTTGATTTGATTTGATTTGATTTGATTTGATTTGATTTGATTTGATTTGATTTGATTTGATTTGATTTGATTTGATTTGTGACTCTGATATAGGCTTACACTTTTAACCATTCTTTTAAAAGGTAATAGTATCAGTGGCGTTGTTAGGATTTTACTAGTGGGGGGCACAAGGGGACACCAGCTTTCAAGTGTGCTTTTTCGGGGGGAAGTATTTGTTAGCCTTGTCAGGAAAATTGCGCCCTCTCTCAGTCAAGCTCGCGGCTCTTGCGGAAATTAACAGGACATCGTACAATTGGTGAATTCCATTTAAGCATGCTTGATATGTTCCCCCCCCCATGATCACTTCATGCGTGCTTACTTGATAAATTGAATCAATTGGCGGGGAGGGGGGTAAACGAAATATTCAAAAAAATTAAGGAAGGTCTGTCTTTTAAATTCTACGGTATGATATTCACCCAGGGTCCTAACTGTGACAATGGAAACATACTTTCCGCATGCAAGTAATCATCCCTTGTTCTTCTCACCATAACAGTGCCCCTTCATGACATTTCCAGAAATGTGAAGTGCAAACTAATGGAAGATATAGAGGGAACTAGGTATGCACGTATCTCATATTTTGTTCAAAATATGAACACTGTCAAAATTCTTCTAGAATTGTTACATACTATTCGGAAACGACTGTGAAGTGCCTGCGTTAAGGTCGCGTCACTATCACCACAATGAACACTCGCAACCAACATGGCTCTTTTCAGACGACGAGAGGGTGCTCCTGATCAAGGCGGATAACCCACTCGACCACCGAGGGGGGAGAGTCAGCTGCGGGTTGGTTGGAAACAAAACAAAATAAAACAAACACAAACAACAATAACAACAAAGACCCAAGCAAAAATGTTTTGAGGAGTGAACATCACTTAAAATGTCGGGGAAGAGTTCCACATACAGACGCCAGTAATTACTTTCCTACATTGACCTATTAGCCATCAGAAAGACAAATATGTCAAGAAAAGTTCAATTTAGGGGGGAAAATACGAAGGCGTTCACTTAGAAAACACTTAAAATTTTCAGACCAGTCTCACAGGATTTGTGCATGGGGTGGCAAGTAGCGTCCGTAAATGGAACTCTTTCCAAATGTTGGTTTTCCCTTGCTTGCATAGAATAATATCTATATTTCATGACATCTTTTGCTTTTTCTTCTTTCCTTTATTCTCTACCTTTCTCACCTCATCATAGGTCTAGCCACAAAACACACGTCTGTGGCACAAGGTATAAAGTCCGCAATGGTAGAAAACCACAGAGGTATAGTAGGAAGACAAGATTCCAAA